CCAAACCAGTTAAAGATGTCACAAAGAAAGAAAACTACAGGCCAATATCACTGATGAACATAGACACAAAAATCCTCAACAAAATACTAGCAGAGTCCAGCAGCTCATTAAAAGTTTCATACACCATAATCAAGTGGGGTTTATCCCAGGAAAGCAAGGATTCTCAATATTCGCAAATCAATCAATGTGATACACCATATTAACAAATTGAAGGATAAAAACCATATGATCATCTCAAGAGATGTAGAAAAAGCTTTTGACAAAATTTAACATCCATTTATGATAAAAACCCTGCAAAAAGTAGGCATAGAGGGAACTTACCTCAACATAATAAAGGCCATATATGATAAACCCACAGCCAACATCACAGCCAACCCATAGCCACAGTTCTCCATGGTGAAAAACTGAAACCATTTCCACTAAAATCAGTAACAAGACAAGGTTGCCACTCTCACCAGTATTATTCAACATAGTTTTGGAAATTTTAGCCACAGCAATCGGAGATAAAAAATAAAAAAATAAAAGGAATCCAAATCGGAAAAGAAGAAGTAAAGTTGTCACTATTTGCAGATGACATGATACTATACATACAGAATCCTAAAGATGTCACCAGAAAACTATTAATCAATGAATTTGGTAAAGTAACAGGATACAAAATTAATGCACAGAAATCTTTTGTACTCCTATATGCTAATGATGAAAAATCTGAAAGAGAAATTAAGGAAACACTCCCGTTTACCACTGCAACAAAAAGAATAAAATACCTAGGAATAAACCTACCTAAGGAGACAAAAGAACTGTATGCAGAAAACTATAAGACACTGATGAAAGAAATTAAAGATGATACCAACAGATGGAGATATACACCATGTTCTTGGATTAGAAGAATCAACATTGTGAAAATGACTATACTACCCAAAGCAATCTACAGATTCAGTGCACTCCCTATCAATCTCCCAGTGGCATTTTTCACAGAACTAGAACAAAAAAATCTTAAAATTTGTATGGAAACACAAAACACCCCAAATAGCCAAAGCAATCTTGAGAAAGAAAAACGGAGCTGGAGGAATCAGGCTCCCTGACTTCAGACTATACTACAAAGCTACAGTAATCAAGACAGTATGGTACTGACACAAAAACAGAAATATAGATCAATGGAACAGGATAGAAAGCCCAGAGATAAACCCACACACATATGGTCACCTTATCTTTGATAAAAGAGGCAAGAATATACAATGGAGAAAAGACAGCCTCTTCAATAAGTGGTGCTGGGAAAACTGGACAGCTACATGTAAAAGAATGAAATTAGAACACTCCCTAACACCATACACAAAAATAAACTCAAAATGGATTAAAGACCTAAATGTAAGGCCAGACACTATAAAACTCTTAGAGGAAAACATAGGCAGAACACTCTGATGTAAATCACAGCACGATCCTTTTTGACCCACCTCCTAGAGAAATGGAAATAAAAATAAACAAGTGGGACCTAATAAAACTTAGCTTTTGCACAGCAATGGAAACCATAAACAGGATAACCCTCAGAATGGGAGAAAATATTTGCCAATGAATCAAGAGACAAAGGATTAATCTCTGAAATATATAAACAGCTCATGTAGCTCAATATTAAAAAAAAAAAATCCAAAAATGGTCAGAGGACCTAAATAGACATTTCTCCAAAGAAGACCTACAGATGGTCAAGAAGCACATGAAAAGCTGCTCAGCATCAATAGTTATTAGAGAAATGAAAATCAAAACTACAATGAGGTATCACCTCACACCAGTTAGAATGAGCATCATCAGAAAATCTACAAACAACAAATGCTGGAGAGTGTGTGGAGGAAAGGGAACCCTCTTGCACTGTTGGTGGGAATGTGAATTGATGCAGCCACTATGGAGAACAGTATGGAGGTTCCTTAAAAAAGTAAAAATGGAATTACCATAGAACCCAGCAATCCCACTACTGGGCATATACCCTGAGAAAACCATAATTCAGAAAGACACATGCAACCCAGTGTTCATTGCAGCACTATTTACAATAGCCAGGACATGGAAGCAACCTGAATGTCCATTGACAGACGAATGGATAAAGAAGATGTGGTACATATATACAATGGAATATTACTCAGCCATAAAAAGGAACAAAGTTGGGTCATTTGTAGAGATGTGGATGGGCCTAGAGAGTGTCATACAGAGTGAAGTAAGTCAGAAAGAGAAAAACAAATATTGTATATTAGGGCATATATGTGGAATCTAGAAAGGTGGTGCAGATGAACCGGTTTGCAAGGCAGAAATAGAGACACAAATATAGAGAACAAACATATGGACACCTGAAGGGGGAAAGTGGGCAGTGGGTGGTGGTGAGATGAATTGGGAGATTGGGATTGACATATATACACTAATACATATAAAATAGATAACTAATAAGAACCTACTGTATAAAAAATAAATAAATTCAAAAAGTAAAGTAAAAAAAAAAAAGACAAAGATTTCTTTCAAAATATTACTGCTCATTGAAAATGTACCTGGTCACCGAGGAACTCTGATGGAAATGTACAGTTAGATTAATGCTGTTTTCATGCCTGCTAACACAGCATCCATTCTGCCGCCTGTGGATGAAGGAGTCACTTGGACTTTCTAGTCTTATTATTTAAGAAATACATTTTGTGAGGCTGCAGTTACCATAGATAGTGAGTCCACTGATGGATTTGGGCAAAGTCAATTGAAAACATTCTGGAAAGGATTCACCTTTCTAGATGCCATTAAAAATATTCATAATTCATGGGAAGAGGTCAAAATATCAACATTAACAGGAGTTTGGAAGAAGTTGATTCCAGCCCTAATGGATGAAACTGAAGGATTTAAGATTTCAGTAGAGGAAGTAATTGCAGATGTGGTGAAAATAGCAAGAGAACTGGAAATAGAAGTGGAGCTGCAATCTCATGATAAAACGTTAATGGATAAGGACCTGCTTCTTATAGATGAACAAAGAAAGTAGTTTCTTGAGATGGAATCTACTCCTGGTGACAGTGCTGTAACAACTGTTGAAATGACAGCAAAGGATTAAAATATGACAGAAACTTAGTTGGTAAAACAGGGGCAGGGTTTGAGAGAATTGACTCCAATTTTGAAAGAAGTTCTACTGTGGGTAAAATGCTGTCAAACAGAGAAATCATTCATAAAAGGAAGAGGCAATTAATGTGACAAACTTTACTGTTGTCATATTTTAAGAAATTGCCACAGCCATTGCAGCTTTCAGCAACCATCACCCTCATTAGTCAGCAGCCATCAACATCAAGGCAAGACCATCTACCAAAGAAAAGACTACAGTTTGCTGAAGGCTTAGATGATGGTTAGCATTTTTTAGCAATAAAGTATTTTTAAATTAAGGTGTACACATTTTTTAAGACATAAGGCTATGTTGCACACTTAATAGCCTGCAGTATAGTATAAACATATATGAACTGGGAAACCAAAAAATTCATGTGACTTGCTTTATTGCAATATTCACCTTATTGGGGTTTTCTGGAACCGAACCTTCATTACCTCTAAGGTATGCCTGTAATTGCTTCTTCACTTTATGCCATTTCAGTTTATGAAAGGTTCCAAAGGAATGCTCTACTTTGGGATAGCAGGGGAACCTATACTTAATTATACTAGATATGTTCATTATGAACAATCAAAGGTCTTTTCAACTTAGTTATTCAAGTACACTAGAACCAAGGCAGGAGTTGATAATTCTAAATTGTAAAATCAAATTGGCACTGGACATTGAACAGACAATGAAATGCAAAAATCTTCTTAGTATACAGACAATAAAACAAAACAAATTAGTAAGTATATCATGGAATCTGTGGGGAAAGAGGGCTGAAGTTTCTTGTAAACAAGGTGGTAGTAGAAATTAATACTGTAATTTATATGACAGTAATTGATACTCAATAGAAAGGTGATATATAAGAGTAATTAATACTCTTTAGTATGTTAACTGTCATTGATATTACCTTTATTTAATAGGTTGCCTTTATAGTTTTATTTTTAATGAAAATAAAATATAGGGCTGTTTAATATTTCCTCCCAATTCTGATCTCCCTAACACTTTTTCCCTATAAGATTCTTAACATATCAATCTGCTTTCTCTTTACATGTAGATTTTCAAGAACTCTTGTAATTAGTATTGGATTCTGTAAATGAAAATTACATACACAATTGCAATATCTGTCCCAAGATATTGCAATAGATACAAACTCTGCCGCAACACTCACTTCAATATCTGAATCAGTGATTTTCAAGTTGTGTTTCATGACTCAGTGGTAGATTATAAAATCAATTTGGTGCATCACAACTATCATTTTTAAAAAAGAAATAGAATTAGTATGAATAAAAAAAATTTCAGAGTTCATCACGCATTGTCTTAGTTCAGGCTGCTATAGCAAACTACCATAAAATGGGTGGCAAAAACATTTCTCATGGTTCTGGAGGCTGGGAAATTCAAGATCAAGGTGCCAGCAGATTCAGTGTCTGGTGAAGGCTGTCTTCTGAATTTGCAGACAGCTACCTTTTCATTGTATCATCACACATTGGAGAAAGTGATCAAGCATGCACAAGTGAGCAAGCTAGCTCTCTGGTCTCTTCTCATAAGGGTGCTAATCCCATCATGAGGACTCCACATCCTCTAAACCTAATTACCTCCCAATGGCCATACCTCCAGTTACCATCACACTGGGGGTTAGGGTTTCAACCTAAGAATTTTGGAGGCACACAAACATGCAGTCCATAACACACATAATATGAGTAAGGTTTATTTCATGGGACTTATATTTCAGTTTTATGCTTATGTATAAAAATATATATGTAAGTACATTTGAGTTATAATGTAAATTATATTTCTTATTTTGGTTGTCGTCAAAAAGCTTGAGAAATGCTGACCTAAATGCAGTTAGATCACTGTGCTGTGTCAACATAGTTGATACATAATACTAATTCTTGATGTTATTTTTCAGAATAAGGAATCTAAAGAAGAGCAAGTGTAAGTATTAGTTTATTTAATTTTTAAATCTGTCTTAGTACTGTCAAAGTGTGCTTTGCCAGAATGACACAGCCTTGCTTTAGAACGTGTTCTCACTAAGAGAAGAATAGACAGTCTTTTTGTCTTAATAAGTTGTCGGGTTTTTTTAACTGAAAGTGACAAAAAGTTAAATTATCATTTATTTTGGGAGAATAAAATCTCTTGCCATTTTCCTATCAATGTATGGCTACTCAAGAGTCATCCAATGCTAACTGCTTTCTTCAAGGACTAAATTTGGTTCCAGCATAAAATCCTTTAAAATATAGTCTAGATTGTAGTTAGCCAAATATAGACTAAGTTAAACTTAACCTTAAAGGCAGATTATTGTTTGTCCCAGTGACCCCTTTTATAAAAGAGTTTGGTTTGGTTTGGTTTGGTTAATTAACCTGAGATGTTTGTTTGGTTTTTTTTAACCCCAGTTGTTAACGGTGAATTTTGAACCTTTACTGGAAACCTTTTAATGTCTAAAGAACATTGAGAGCTATATTCTACAACCATATGATTAATGACAGTGTAGTAGAGGAAGGAAATGGGGGAGACATTCCATAAAGAGATCATTATACCCACCAGAGTTGTTAACTGAAAATTAGTTACTTTAGAGAACTCTCTATGAGGACATAATTAAGATAACTTTAAAATGGTAACAAGAACATATTTTGGTAACTTTAAAGCCATCGATTTTAGTTGATATTTTCTCATTGATTAATGGACATGATCCACTCGGTAAGTTAATAGTTCATCATCCAAGATGGGTTTTCACTTTCTTTGTCAACAAGTTGAGCCACTAATGCAATAGGTTTTTTTGTTTGTTTGTTTGTTTTTGCGGTATGTGGGCCTATCACTGTTGTGGCCTCTCCCATTGCGGAGCACAGGCTCCAGACACGCAGGCTCAGTGGGCATGGCTCACAGGCCCAGCCGCTCCACGGCATATGGGATCTTCCCAGACCAGGGCACGAACCCGTGTCCCCTGAATCAGCAGGCGGACTCTCAACCACTGCGCCACCAGGGAAGCCTTTTTTTTTTTCTATAGAGCAGCTTATTAATCCATTTTATACATATTAGTGTATACATGTCAATCCCAATCTCCCAATTCATCCCACCACCACCCCTGCCACTTTCCCCACTTGGTGTCCATACATTTGTTCTCTGCATCTGTGTCTCAATTTCTGCCCTGCAAACCGGTTCATCTGTACCATTTTTCTACGTTCCACATATATGTGTTTATACATGATATTTGTTTTTCTAACTTACTTCACTCTGTATGACAGTCTCTAGGTCCATCCGCGTCTCTACAAATGATCCAATTTCGTTCCTTTTTTATGGCTAAGTAATATTACATTGTATATATGTACCATATCTTCTTTATTCATTCATCTGTCAATGGGCATTTAGGTTGTTTCCATATCCTGGCTATTGTAAATAGTGCTGCACTGAACACTGGGGTGCATGTGTCTTTTTGAATTATGGTTTTATCTGGGTGTATGCCTAGTAGTGGGATTGCAGGGTCATATGGTAATTCTATTTCTGGTTTCTTAAGGAACCTCCATATTGTTCTCCATAGTAGCTGTATCAATTTACATTCCCACCAACAGTGCAAGAGGGCTCCCTTTTCCCCACACCCTCTCCAGCATTTGTTGTTTGTAGATTTTCTGATGATGCCCATTCTAACTGGTGTGAGGTGATAACCTCATTGTAGTTTTGATTTGTACTTCTCTAATAATTAGTGATGTTGAGCAGCTTTTCATGTGCTTCCTGGCCATCTGTATGTCTTCTTTGGAGAAATGTCTATTTAGGTCTTCTTCCCATTTTTGGATTGGGTTGTTTGTTTTTTTAATATTGAGCTGCATGAGCTGTTAATATATTTTGGAGATTAATCCTTTGTTGATTTGTTTGCAACTATTTTCTCCCATTCTGAGGGTTGTCTTTTTGTCTGGTTTGTAGTTTCCTTTGCTGTGCAAAATCTTTGAAGTTTCATTAGGTCCCATTGGCTTATTTTTGTTTTTATTTCCATTACTCTAGGAGGTGGATCAAAAAAGATCTTGCTGTGATTTATGTCAAAGAGTGTTCTTCCTACGTTTTCCGCTAAGAGTTTTATAGTGTCCTGTCTTACATTTAGGTCTGTAATCCATTTTGAGTTTATTTTTGTGTATGGTGTTAGGGAGTGTTCTAATTTCATTCTTTTACATGTAGCTGTCCAGTTTTCCCAGCACCACTTATTGAGGAGACTGTCTTTTCTCCATTGTATATCCTTGCCTCCTTTGTCATAGATTAGTTGACCATAGGTTCATGGATTTATCTCTGGGCTTTCTATCCTATTCCATTGATCTATATTTCTGTTTTTGTGCCAGTACTGTATTGTCTTGATTACTGTAGCTTTGTAGTATAGTCTGAAATCAGGGAGTCTGATTCCTCCAGCTCTGATTCTTTCCCTCAAGACTGCTTTGGCTCTTCGGCGTCTTTTGTGTCTCCATACAACTTTTAAGATTTTTTGTTCTAGTTCTATGAAAAATGCCATTGGTAATTTGATAGGGATTGTGTTGAATCTGTAGATTGCTTTGGGTAGTATAGTCATTTTCACAATGTTGATTCTTCCAACCAGTCCAAGAACATGGTACATCTCTCCATCTGTTTGTATCATCTTTAATTTTGTTCATCAGTGTCTTATAGTTTTCTGCATACAGGTCTTTTGTCTCCCTAGGTAGGTTTATTCCTAGGTATTTTATTCTTTTTGTTGCAATGGTAAATGGGAATGTTTCCTTAATTTCTCTTTCAGGTATTTCATCATTAGTGTATAGGAATGTAAGAAATTTCTGTGCATAAATTTTGTATCCTGCAACTTTACCAAATTCATTGATTAGCTCTAGTAGTTTTCTGGTGACATCTTTAGGATTCTTTATGTATAATATCATGTCATCTGCAAACAGTGACAGTTTTACTACTTTTCAAATTTGTATTCCTTTTATTTCTTTTTCTTCTCTGATTGACGTGCCTAGGACTTCCAAAACTATGTTGAATAATAGTGGTGAGAGTGGACATCCTTGTTTTGTTCCTGATCTTATAGAAAATACTTTCCGTTTTTCACCATTGAGAATGATGTTTGTTCTGGGTTTGTTGTATATGGCCTTTATTATGTTGAGGTAGGTTCCCTCTATGCCGACTTTCTGGAGAGTTTTTATCATAAATGGGTGTTGAATTTTGTCAAAAGCTTTTTCTGCATCTGTTGAGATGATCATATGGTTTGTCTTCTTCAATTTGTTAATAGGGTGTATCATATTAATTGATTTGCTTATATTGAAGAATCCTTGCATCCCTGCGATAAATCCCACTTGATCATGGTGTATGATCCTTTTAATGTGTTGTTGGATTCTGTTTGCTAGTATTTTGTTGAGAATTTTTGCATCTATATTCATCAGTGATATTGGCCTGTGATTTTCTTTTTTTGTAGTATCTTTGTCTGGTTTTGGTATTAGGGTGTTGGTGGCCTCATAGAATGAGTTTAGGAGTGTTCCTTCCTGTGCAGTTTTTTGGAAGAGTTTGAGAAGGATGGTGGTAGCTCTTCTCTAAATGTTTGATAGAATTCACATGTGAAGCCATCTGGTCCTGGACTTTTGGTTTTTGGAAGATTTTTTTTTTTTTTTGCAATATGTGGGCCTCTTGTGTTGAGGAGCACAGGTTCCAGATGCGCAGGCTCAATGGCCATGGCTCATGGGCCCAGCCGCTCTGTGGCATGTGGGATCTTCCTGGACCGGGGCACGAACCCGTGTCCCCTGCATCGGTAGGCAGACTCCCAACCACTACGCCACCAGGGAAGCCCCTTTTGGAAGATTTTTAATCACAGTTTCAATTTCATTCCTTGTGATTGGTCTGTTCATATTTTCTATTTCTTCCTGGTTTCATCTTGGAAGTTTATACCTTTCTAAGAATTTGTCCATTTCTTCCAGGTTGTCAATTTTGTTGGCATAGAGTTGCTTGTAGTAGTCTCTTAGAATGCTTTGTATTTCTGCCATGTCTGTTGTAACTTCTCCTTTTTCATTTCTAATTTTATTGAATTGAGTCCTCTCCCTCTTTTTCTTTATCAGTCTGGCTAATGGTTTATCAATTTTGTTTATCATCTCAAAGAACCAGCTTTTAGTTTTATTGATCTTTGCTATTTTCTTTCTTTCTATTTCATTTATTTCTGCTCTGATCTTTATGATTTCTTTCTTTCTGCTAACTTTGGGTTTTGTTTGTTCCTCTTTCTCTCTTTCCTTTAGGTGTAAGGTTAGGTTGTTTATTTGAGATATTTCTTGTGTCTTGAGGTAGGCTTGTATAGCTATAAACTTCCCTCTTAGAACTGCTTTTGCTGCATCCTATAGGTTTTGGATCATCCTGTTTTCATTGTCATTTGTCTCTAGGTATTTTTTGATTTCCTCTTTGATTTCTTCAGTGATCTCTTGGTTTTTTAGTAATGTATTGTTTAGCCTCCATGTGTTTGTGTTTTTTACGTTTTTTTCCCTGTAATTGATTTCTAATCTCATAGCGTTGTGGTCATAAAAGATACTTCATATGATTTCAATTTTCTTAAATTTACTGAGGCTTGATTTGGGACCCAAGATGTGATCAATCCTGGAGGATGTTCCATGTGCACTTGAGAAGAAAGTAATCTGCTGTTTTGGGGTGGAATATCCTATAAATATCAGTTAAATCTATCTGGTCTATTGTGTCATTTAAAGCTTGTGTTTCCCTATTAATTGTCTCTTTGGATGATCTGTCCACTGGTGTAAGTGATGTGTTAAAGTCACCCACTATTATTGTGTTACTGTCGATTTCTTCTTTTATACCTGTTAGCAGTTGCTTTATGTATTGAGGTGCTCCAATGTTGGGTGCATATATATTTATAATTGTTATATCTTCTTCTTGGATTGATGCCTTGATCATTTGTAGTGTCCTTCCTTGTCTCTTGTAACATTCCTTATTTTAAAATCTATTTTATCTGATATGAGTATTGCTACTCCAGCTTTTTTTTTGATTTCCATGTGCATGGAATATCTTTTTCCATCCCCTCACTTTCAATCTGTATGTGTCCCTAGGTATGAAGTGGGTCTCTTGTAGACATCATATATATGGGTCTTGTTTTTGTATCCATTCAGTGAGCCTGTGTCTTTTGGTTGGAGCATTTAATCCATTTGCATTTAAGTTAATTATCGATATGTATGTTCCTATTACCATTTTCTTAATTGTTTTGGGTTTTTTTGTATAGGTCCTTTTCTTCTCTTGTGTTTCGCACTTAGAGAAGTTCCTTTAGCATTTGTTGTAGAGCTGGTTTGGTGGTGCTGAATTCTCTTAGCTTTTGCTTGTCTGTGAAGTTTTTGATTTCTCTGTCAAATCTGAATGAGATCCTTGCTGGCCAGAGTAATCTTCGTTGTAGGGTCTTCCCTTTCATCACTTTAAATATATCATGCTGCTGCCTTCTGGCTTGTAGAGTTTCTGCTGAGAAATCAGCTGTTAACCTTATGGGAGTTCCCTTGTATGTTATTTGTCATTTTTCCCTTGCTGCTTTCAATAATTTTTCTTTGTCTTTAATTTTTGCCAATTTGAGTACTATGTGTCTTGGCATGTTTCTCCTTGGGTTTATCCTGTATGGGACTCTATGCACTTCCTGTACTTGTGGCTATTTCCTTTTCCATGTTAGGGAAGTTTTTGACTATAATCTCTTCAAATATTTTCTTGGGTCCTTTCTCTCTCTCTGCTCTGTCTGGGACCTCTGTCATGCAAATGTTGTTGTGTTTAATGTTGTCCCAGGTGTCTCTTAGGCTGTCTTCATTTCTTTTCATTCATTTTTCTTTACTCTTTTCCACAGAAGTGAATTCCACCATTCTGTCTTCCAGGTCACCTATCCATTCTTCTGCCCCAGTTATTCTGCTATTGATTCCTTCTAGTGTATTTTTCATTTCAGTTATCGTATTGTTCATCTGTGTTTGTTTGTTCTTTAATTCTTCTATGTCTTTGTTAAACATTTCTTGCATCTTCTCAATGTTTGCCTCCATTCTTTTTCCGAGTTCCTGGATCATCTTCACTATCATTTTTCTGAATTCTTTTTCTGGAAGGTTACCTATCTCCACTTCATTTAGCTGTTTTTCTGGTGTTTTATCTTGTTCCTTCATCTGGTACATAGCCCTCTGCCTTTTCACCTTGTCTATCTTTCTGTGAATGTGGTTTTTGTTCCACAGGCTGCAGGATTGTAGTTCTTCTTGCTTCTGCTGTCTGCCCTCTCCAGTAGCTTTTTTGTGTGTGTGTGTTTTCATGCTATGTCTAGATACCGTAAAAATAACTTAGTAAAGAATGAAACAATATTATCAGTCATTTTGCTCATTTTGACTTACAGCATAGAGCCATACCTGGATGATCATCAAATCATGCAGCGAGCTTTGTTTTTAAATGAGAATTTTCAAATACACACAAAAGTAAAGAGAATAATATATCTACATTTGTATGTATACCTATCATCCTGATTCGACAGTTAGCACTGTTTTTCCATATGTGCTTCATTTTTCCCTTAACATTTTGTTCTTTTTTGAATGTTTTCAGTCCCAAACATCATATAATTTTACCTCTACATGATTCAGTTTGCATCTCTTTAATAAGAGATGAATATTTTTCTATATTATCATAATGCTATTATCATACTTTAAAGATTTAGGAATAATCTTTTGGAGCTTTTCAAAACTACAGATTCATATTTTTACAGTGTTGGGGTGTCAGAAAAATGTAATTTTTTAACAGCTTTTTAAGCTATATGGAAAACTGATTGGGTTTTTGAACTGTGGTCTACACAAGCAGTTTATTTCATTGAACTTTCCAAAATATTTGAGTCAGTCTAGAATACTTCAGTGATACCTAATGACTGTTTTATAGTGTTTTACAAGTTATTCTACAAGCGTTAGATATCATTTTTTTGCTAGGTCTCGGTGGCCTAAAATAAGTACTGATGCATCCTGGAGTTATCTATTTTCTTTCTAATAATAAAATAAAAATAATTTTCTTTCACTTATAAAGTTAAGTAATACATATCATGCTATAAGTAAAAGTTCTATTTCTTGTTATTGTTCAATGAGATTAGGAAGGAAATTCATAGCTACTAAATAGTGGGCCAACTTGAAAGGATAGTAGCATGCATTTAAATTTTAGACATAGGTATAAAAATGAGTTAATTGTCATTGTACATGTAATATTTTCATTGTTTTCACAGTGGTTCCTAGTTACTTTAATTCATTATCACTACAGTTTTTTTTAAAGTCCTGTTACAAAAGAAACCTCCATTTTAATCTACTTTATATTGCTGTTTGCAGCCCTTTATTTAAATGTACATGGGACCTAAGCATTGAAGTTGATTAAACCAACCTAGTTGTCAAGAATGATGTGATGATTAAATAATATAGCAGATGTGGACATGCTTGTCAATATTTCCCAAAGTATTGTTTCTCAAAGTAACTGATGTTAATAGTTATAATTTGAAAAGTGAACTCCATATTCTGATAGTTCTTAAAGACACTACTATGAACAGAATAGGTACCTCAGTTGAGTGCTATCTGAAATATGCTAAAATGCATTGTGAATCTTCAAAAGAAATACACAGTATGACCACTCTCCAAACTTTGACTATGAGCCCTTCTGATCTGAGCATCTCATGAGACCAGTACAATATTAATTTGGGAAATAATGGCTTAGATGAAAAGCACTATACAATTATAAAAGATCACATTGATTATGTCACCCCTGTAGTCCAAATATGATAGGTAAGGAAGAGCAGTTGAAGAAAGAACAAGCAAATCTATACTCAATCAGTGGATTTATGAAAGATGATGCAAGTGATGTTCAAGAAGATTCTGCAACTGAAGACAAGTTCTATAGCCTGGATGAACTGCATATTCTGGACATGATAGAGCAGGTAAGCCTGATTTGAGAGGATACAGCCCTGCCTTCCTTCTTCCAGAACAATTGTTAACCATTTTTTCCCCATGACTCTTTGAACAGCATGTTAACCTAGTGATTTATGTTGTGTTTCTGAGGAAAAAGAAAAAACAGGAAAGGAGGGACAGAGGGATGGCTGACAGAAAAAAGAACCCTAGGAACTGGAAACTTCTCACTTTAGTCCTCAGACCATTTCCTGGTTTTAAGTATTGGGCAGAGTTGATTACAAATGCATTCCTTATAAAGAGTTTTCAAATACCACAGGGAAGAAAAAAATACCCTGGCATAATCCCATAGGATTAAATTTCATGAGAAAAATAGTTTTATAAAACAAATCTACTTTCATTTTTCAAAAAGTTAAACCTTTTTGTTACCATGAAATATCTACAAAAAATATTAACAAACAAATTTTTTGGTTCCTTTCCTGGTGGTAGTCGTGCTGGGAATGACATACTTATATATGAAGGGGCATATGAACATGATTTTAGTGCTCAGCAGAGCACTTAATGAGACAAAACATATAGAAAACTTTATTTAAAAAAAAAATCACTTGCTTAACCTACCCATGAGAATTCTGTACTGAGGTAATATATGATATCCTGTTCCATGGTTTAAGTATAATAATATATAATATATAGTAATGTTGATATCTAAGGATGCAGTTAGTACAAACAATTTCCTGGCTGATAGTACATTAGTATAATTGTCATGCCTTTTTGTCTCCTTTCTAATTAAAATATATACATATATTTTAACTGAAATGACATATTCTAAGCTTTGGATGTCACACTAAAGTTTAAATGTGGGGCCTTTGGTTTTCATCCAACAGCTATAAGAACTCAAAAAATAGAACGAAAATGTCACACAGCTTTTGAAAAATGTTTATTCATTCATTTATTCAAAAAACACTTAGGGGCTTCCCTGGTGGTGCAGTGGTTGAGAGTCCGCCTGCCGATGCAGGGGACACGGGTTCGTGCCCCGGTCTGGGAGGATCCCACATGCTGCAGAGCGGCTGGGCCCGTGAGCCATGGCCGCTGAGCCTGCGTGTCCGGAGCCTGTGCTCCGCAACGGGAGAGGCCACAGCAGTGAGAGGCCCGCGTACCGCAAAAAAAAAACCAAAAAAAAACAACACTTAGCACTTACTTTGTGTCAAGAGCTATGCTAAGACATGGTCCCTGTGATCACAGTGTTTATAATCCAGTGGAGAAGTTGAACATTAACCTAAGGTGATAATTACTAAGGTAATAATTAAGTAGTTTAGCAGTTAAGATTGCCTGAGTTTAGAATTCTGGCTCCTTCACTTACTGTGTGACCTTGGGCAAGTTACTCAGTTTTATCATCTCTAAAGTAGTAGTGAGTGCCTACCTCATATGGTTCTTATGACAATAAAAGCATTACAAAAAATGCTTTAAAAATGGTAAGCATACAGATAGCATTATTCAGTAGTAGCAGCAGTAGACAAGTAACTATGGTATTGTTTAGTGAATGCTGTAATTGGAGAGAGGTAGGTTTATTTAAACTAATCAGAGAAGTGGTATTTGCATTGAAACCGATAATGCATGCGTATGAGTTAGACAGCAACTTAAATCCCCTTTAAGTAACAATAATAGTAGTGTTTTTCATTTAAATTTCTATAATATTAGTGCTTTTTTAAAGAGGAAAATAAAGCATGAATATTCCATTTGCTCAATAGGGCTCAACCAACAAGGTAACTACAGAATATGGAGAAACTGAGAAGCAAAAGCTTGCTCGACAACGGCAGTTTTGTAAATTGCACTATCAGTGTGAAGTAAGTATTTTTGCCATTATATCTGAGACAAGTTAGAGGTACTTCAAATGTTCAATTTAATGGTATATATTTTTAAAGAGTCCAGTTTTTTCTTTAAATTTCTGGTGGCTTGAACAGAATTAACTGATATAATATTTTTCATTGATCAGGATTTCAAAAGACAATTGAAAACAGTGACTTTTCGGTGGCAAGAAAACCAAATGCAGGTTAAAAAGAAAGATAAAATCATCTCATCTCTTAACCAACAAGTGGCTTTTGGAATCAATAAGGTGTCCAAGTAAGTGCAAATCTGTTGATAGAAGAAAATTCTGGGTTTGCTCCATAATGAACAGTATCCTTTAAAAGATAATCCCTATGTAGCCACTAGGTGGCATTGTGACTGCACATTAGGAACTGCCAACCACAGGGCTGCAACTGCTTAAAAACCCACTATATTTTGCCTTGCCAGCTGGATTGAGAAATAAGCAGCTGCTCACTCTAAATATCAAGCTTTTCATGTATTGGCTGAATAAGTGTGAAGATAATAGAATTACATGAGAATGATAATTAGCTTTCAGGTCATGACTCTAATTTGTAAAAATGTGACTAATGATTGGCTGTTTCTTTATAGCATATGGTAAGTACATTCCTCAAAGACATCACTGACTCACTTTCATACCTTTTAATGTTGGTTTCTGAGAGTGTTTGTGTTCTAAGCGCAAGAGATTGGAAACAAATCAAATTCCCGGAGAATCTTTTCACCCCATCAATCTTATTTCTCTTACAACCTCAAGTATTAAAAATGCCTGAGACTAAAAATTCTGATTTAATAAGGAAAAATGAGTATCCTGCTCCATTCTGTTTATACTAACCACTGCCTCAAACCATTTTGAAGTGAAATAGTAATATAATTTGTGACACATTATTTTAATAAACAGTACTACCACAAAATACCAGTCATCCATCATTCTAATTTGAAATCCACTGCAGTTCCTAGACTGCTAATAGGGAAAATAGACAGATTCTAGGGAATATCTTAGTTTAAGGAGTCCAAGATGTCAATAGTTAAATTGGGGAAATATTAGGCAGAGATTTTGGTCTTAAATTTTCTCCCACATAACATTTCATCCAACCTGAACAGGTTTTTTGGGAGAACAGGATGCCATAGCTCTGGCAACATGGTATCAGTTGCAAACACTTTCAGTTTTGTGGACCTAAAATAGCTTGGACAAATTAAACTGACTGAAATCACTTAAGAACCCACACTTCAGGATTCAAAATTTTGTCTTTTAGCCTGAAAGACAATGACCAATCCATAAATATGTTATATAGTATCAGAGATCAGAAAAGTAATGCCATCCATGCAGATGACCTGTCTCTCTCCTTTGCTATCTGAGATATCCCTCTTCAACTCTAATACCTTACCCAGACTCCCTTGTATGCTTGAGACTACAAACAGACCACTTTAGGGACTGCATATGTCTTCACACAAGGAACATTCAGTGCTGAACATTCACCAAACTTTTATCAAGTTCCCACAGTATGCGAAGAATTATGTAAGGCACATGCAAAGGATACCAAGACACATCAGACATTAACTGTGAGCTACTGGGAAGTATAGATTAATATGAGAGGATTAAAATTACATATAACAGAGGGACCTCCAGTTCCACCAAAATGTAGTATCTCTGTTACTTGCAAGTCTTCCTTCTTACAACTTAAACACCCTGGATAGAACACAACAAACATGGGAAGACTCTGAAAGGTAGAAGGAAGCAGACTGTCTAGAAACCTTGGAACTTGAAAGAATGATGTGACAGTGATTTTTTAAAAATTGCCTCCCATGTATCCTAGACAGGGCACTGCAGAAACCTCCAACATGCAACTGTCAGTAAGCACAGGGTAGGGGGGCCACTAAAGTGCCAAGAAAAGTCTGTTCCCTTTAGCCAGAGGATCAGGGAAAGGAAGATATAATAACATGAAACCTTTTTGGCACTACCCACCTACTCCAGCCAAACACCACTAGACCCACACCACCCCTTGGACACAGGTACTGCACTCTGACAAAAGATGCCAGAAATCAGATTCCCTTGCTGGGGTAGCAATACTGAGCAGGTAGCTAATCTTCCATTCCTCACCAAGTGGAAGCAAGGGGTGCTCCAGTTTCTCTGCCAGGATAGCATCAATATGGTCCAGCTGCAAGCTAAGCCTCTACCTCTACCTAGCATCAACAAGACTTAACAAAGTGATCCAAGGTGGGACTAGTCAATACTAGGTTTTATTCCTACTCTCATGCGGAGCTGAATCTCCACCCTGGAGCCAGGTGGTACTCCATTTCCCCTGCTTTCCCCAGCTGGTGCCAGAGGCACCCAACAGGGAGCTCCTGCCTCTCTCTACTGTACAGCAGCAAAGCAGTGTGAGTCAGCCCTTCTACACTTCACTTGAAGTAAGAAAAGATCAATACCAGTAGACTATGTATGCATATTGTAATACCTAGTGCAACCACTAAGAAAGCTGCATAAAGAGATATACTCAAAAACACTATAAATAAACTAAGATGGAATCCTAAAACACGTTCAGGTAACCCACAAGAAAGTAAGAAAAGAGAAACAGAGGAAACAAACAGAAAACAAATAATAAAATGGCAGACTTAAGCCCTAACATATCAATAATTACCTTAAGTATAAATGGTCTAAATATATCAATTAAAAGACAGAGACTGGAAGAATAGATTTTAAAAACAAAACAAAAAGAAGTGTGATCCAACAATATGCTATTTATAGGAAATACATTTCAGTTTCAACAACATAAGTAGGTTGAAAATAAAAGGATGGTAAAATATATCCCATGTAAACATTAATCAAAAAATAAGGAGTGGCTATATTAATATCAGATACAGTGGACTTCAGAGCAAAGAAAACTGGAGACAAAGAGGGACATTACATAATGATAAAAGGATCAGTCCACTGGGAAGACATAAGAACCTAAAGGTGTACATACCAAACAACAGAGCCTCAAAATATATGAAGCAAAACAGACAGAATGGAAAGAAGAAATAGAAGACCTCTACAACACCATCAAGCAACAGGATCTGATTGATATTTATAGAACACTTCACCAGACAATAACAGAATACAGATGCTTTCAAGTACCCACAGGAAATATACCAAGATAAACCATATTCTGGGCCATAAAACAAACCTCAGCAAATTTAAAAGAATTGAAATCATGAAAAGCATGTCTCAGATCACAGTGGAAACAAACTAGAAATCACTAACAGAAATATAACAGGAAAATCTGCAAACACGTGGAGACTACACAATATACTTCTAATTAATTTATGAGTCAAAGAAGAGGTCTCAAGGGAAATAAAAATATGTTGAATTAACATGAAGATACAATATGTCAAAGTTTGTGGGACACAGCTAAAGCGGTTCTGAGATTTATAGCACTAAATGTGCACATTAGAAAAGGGGAGAAGTCTCAAATGTATAATACAGTACAAGCTCCCACCTCAAGAACCCAGAAGAAGAAAAGCAGAATGACCCAAAACAAGCAGAAGGATGGAAATAATAAAGATTGGAAATATTGAAATTGGAAACAAAAAGCAGTAGAGAAAATCCATGAAACAAAGAGCTGGTTTCTTTGAAAATATCCATGCAACTGACAAACCTCTAGCAAACCTGACAAAAAAGAAGACACAAGTTACCACCCTCAGGAGTGAAATGGTGATATCACTACAGACCGTGCCAACATCAGAGAATTGTGCTGAGTGAAAAAACCCAATCCCCAAAGCTTATATACTATATTATTCCATTTCTGTAACATTCTTGAAATGACAAAATTTCAAATGGTTCAAAAATGACAGTGATAAAAATGAAAAATAGATTAGATTAGTGGTCCCAAGGTTTTAAGGAGGAGATGGAAGAGGGAGGGAAGTGGCTGTGGCTATAAAAGGGCAAAATAAGGCATCCTTGTGGTGATAAAATTGTTTGCTATCTTTAACTGTATCACTGACAACATCGTGGGTTATTATATTGTCATTTTGCAAGATGTTGCATTGGGGGAATGTGGATAAAGGGTACATGGGATCTGTCTGTATCATTTCTTACACCTGCATGTGAATCTATGTTTATCTGAAAAGCTTAACTTTTTGAAAAAGTGCATATAAATAACTGTCAAATGGAGCTGTATTTAATAGGGATATTGTGGGGTAAAAAGAGTACTTTTGATGTTGAGATAAGGAAGAACTTCATTGAAGACATAGTGTTTTACCTAAGCTAGGTAATACATAGGGTGAGATGGGAGAAAAGACAGAGGGCATTCAGACCAGGGAGGAAAGCATGAATGTTGCGTGTATTCTCATATAAGCTTTTGAGCCTTTCTTTGTTTAATTCACCTGGTCATGTCCCAAGAGCATGTGATAAAAATGTAAATATTCTTTCATTGTAAAATGTTGATTTCTTTCATCTTAGAACATCTTGTTTATTTGGAAGCAAAAACATCTTTTTTCTTTGGCCTAATTCAATGCCAATACTACAGTAAATGTCTGGTCAATATGTTGATGATAATTGCAGTGTTAATAAAGAAGACATACAAAAATGACATATTTTGCACAAATTACAGTGCTTAATAAATGTTAAGAAACTGCTGTCCATAAAATTTATATAGTAAACTTCATAGCCAGCCAGAGTAAGCTTGAGAACTTTAGATATTTTAGAGAACAAAATCTAATCCCACCCTGTCATGGTTTTCATGAGAAAAATAGGACTAACTAGTTATGACTACCTGAACGTATATAGCTGGTTCATGTATGAGCAGGATGATAGGAACTATGCCTACCTTATCCTCTGTTACTTAAGAATCCAGGTCTTCTGAATTCCCAATCAGCTTTGTCAGTTCTTATCGCCTACTCTAAACTAGAGCTGGGTAAAATAATGAAGTAATGGCAGTATACATGGGAAAGAAAGACGTCAGTCTTAGAAATCTTACAACTTACTTTTCAGTTCTCTCTACATACTCCTGTAGAGTATACAGAAACAAAGCTTGTATTTCTTATTCTTTACTCAAGAACATGATCTCTTTTGTATCTAAAGAGACCTGTTTTCTTTTCTTTGTGTTTATCAGTCCAATACAACATTCATTGTAAGTCTCTACAGCTTCCAGGAAGCTTAAATGTAAGTAGGTGGTCTCTGAAATCTAGTGGTGAGCAATCCAGCCAACATGTAACATCACTGTTCTAAGGCTTTATCATTCACAGTTTATATAAACCAAAACTCGTATGTATCCCAAGTGTCTGAACATATCAGAGACTTAAAGAGAAATGTGCTTTTGCTATAAATCTCTTCATATTGAAGCAGATTAACAGGTGGTAAAGAAAACTACAGCACAAGGGAGGAACATCAAAAATGGTATGTGAATATATGTCAACCCCAAAAGTGTTACTTTGCATTTCTTTTAATAGTTTTTGGCATGTCGGTTATTAAGCTAATCATGGGTTATGTTTTCTGATGTATACAAAATTTTTACCCAGTCTTCTGTTGATTAGGTCATTTGAGTGACTCCCCTGTTATAATTTATAGTTTTTTTTAATTAATTAATTAATTTATTTATTTATTTATTTTTAGGTGTGTTGTGTCTTCGTTTCTGTGCGAGGGCTTTCTCTAGTTGCAGCGAGCGGGGGCCACTCACTGTCGTGGCCTCTCTTGTTGCAGAGCACAGGCTCCAGATGCGCAGGCTCAGTAGTTGTGGCTCATGGGCCTAGTTGCTCCGCAGCATCTGGGATCTTCCCAGACCAGGGCTTGAACCTGTGTCCCCTGCATTGGCAGGCAGATTCTCAACCACTGCGCCACAAGGGAAGCCCCATAATGTATATTTTTAATTAAAATTCTTATTTGTACACAGCCTCATTGCTTCTGTATTTAAGATCTGATTTCTTTCAGAACTTAAGTCTTTAATAGTTTGCATGACTTGATATACTATCTCTTTAAGGAATTTGAAGTTCTCAATCCCACCATAGGCCTAGAACATCACAAGATGCCATCTCTGTTTTCTAGTGAGTAAACTAAAGAACAAAGAGCTAAAGTCATTTTTCTGAGTTATTGAGCTGGGGATACGATATAACTCTTCAGTTTGGCTTTCTGATTTTCAGGCTTAGAACTTAGTTCTTTCTTTGTAAAGTCAGTAAATCGGACATCAGACGTAAGAAAGATAAATCTTAGAAGAATAAGGTAGAGGAGTCCAGTTATTTTCAGGCTCAAGATTTATGGCCCCAAATGGACATACTTAGTCCCTCCTCAGCTGCAAGTAGGGTTGTTCTGACTGTTAATGATAAATAATATCTAACATTTTATGGCGTTCTTTCTTCTTTTCTTAGATTACAGCGTCAGAGCCATGCTAAAGATAATGAAATCAAGAACCTTAAAGAGCAACTTTCTATGAAAAGGTAACAAACAGCTGTTGCTTTGGTTGAGTGCACCCTCTCTGAAACTGTGGATTCCACTCAGCATATTCTGGCTAAGGTAGCCATATAACTTGTCATCCAAACTAGGGCACTTTTGAGCATGATACTGAGCAGTATTAATAATTACACTGGGACAACAGATAAAAGCTGGAAATGTCCTAGGCAAATAGGGAGGATTGTTCACCTTGCCTCTGGCCCTGGGAAACTGCTGAGAGTGATTAAATCAGCAAAGTTGTGGTGCCACAACAAACTACTGTCAGGAACTAGGGCTTATGAATTCTTTTTTCTTTACTGTAATCAATACTACTAGGTGTGACTGCTTCATGAAACTGGGTAAGTTTGGTTCTGATTTACATATTTTTTATAATAGCTGTTTTGAGATCTAATTCACATAGAATAAAATTCACCCTGTTAAAGCATACTATTCCTTGGTTTGTAGTATATGTACAGAGGTGAACAACCATCATCACTATCTAATTCCAGAACATTTTTCTCACCCTAAAAAGAAACCCTTGGTCCATTAGAAGTCACTCCCCATTCTCTTGTCTCCCAGCTTCTGGGAACCACTAGTCTATTTTTTTGTCTCTGTGGATTTGCTTATTCTGGACATGTCATACAAAAGGAATCATATAATAATATGTGGCCTCTTTTGATTAACTTCTTTCACTTAACATAATGTTTTCAAGGTTGATCGTGTTTTAGCATGTATCAGTACTCATTCCTTTTTATGGACAAATAATATTCCATTGTATGGATATACCACACTTTGCTTACCTTTTCATCAGTTGATGGACACTTGGTTTGTGTCCATTTTTTGGCTGTTATGAATAAAGCTGGTATGAACATTTGTCTACAAATTTTTGTGTGGACATATGTTTTCAATTCTCTTGGGTGTATACCTAAGAGTAGAATTGCTGAGACATGCAGTAAACTCTTTAACTTGGAGGAACTGCCAAACTGTTTTCCAAGTGACTGCACCATTTTATAATCCCAGCAGGAA